TATAAAAAAAAGAATGGATGTGGGGAAGGGGAAAATATATTTGTGGCGGACGTGTTCGAACATGCAAGAACGGATGCTAATGCACATTTTAAGTGGAGTACCTATGCCGAGTAAGCGTTTTAAGAATTACGCTCCACCTCAGCAAAAACGGGTGTATGAGTTTCCTGAGTGGAAGAAGTAGTCAGTGTGCGCCGAACCGTGCTGCGGGTAAGACGTTGTGTCGTCGAGTGAAAAGAGTTTCCAAGATGGCTACTTGTGGGTATGATGAAGCTAAAAACAGTGCGGACATAGCGCAGCTACTTTGGAGTGTAGATCCATCACAGACGGTGTCCTCATATGGTAAGTATAGTGTGTGTGTGTGTGTGTGTGTGTGTGTGAGAGAGAGAGAGAGAGCGAGAGAGAGAGAGGTCTAAAATATAATTTTTCAAATTCCAGATAATTTAATATCATCTCTGGGATTACACCAGCAACAAAACCACCACCACCACCATCAGCCGAGTGTGCATGTGCATAAAGAGGAAGAGAAGGGTAAGTAATTAAAAGTATGGGTAATTGAGAGAGATACAGTAAAAAGAGTGTCAATTTACCCTGTTTTTTATGTTGTAGAAACCGAACCGATTACGGTGAAGCGTGGGCGCCCCCGAACAAACCCCCAAGTAAAGAAGCAAAAGAAACAAACTGCTCCCCGTGTGAAGAAGCCCCGAGTGTGTAAAGATGGAGTTGTTTCAAAGTGTCCGGATGTTACCAAAAGTGAAAAAAAACGAGTAGCGAAGTTATTTCATAGCATGGCAGATATATGTGCAAAAATGGGAGAAATTTGTAAAGAGATGATAAATTGAAAAGAAAAATAAACTTCTAATAAGCAAAAGTGAAAGCAGTGTGAAATTTTTTAAAAAAATAATCCTTCAATTGAAAGTACGTCTCATCAGGAGAGAGTGAGGGAAAAGGGGAAAGTTCATAAAAGAGAATATCTTCCCATTTAACCCATTATAATTCAATATACAATACAATACAACACAATAACATAATTCAACTCTGAGCACCTAAATGCGGAAAGAGCAATTCTACATCAATAACCTTATCATTCACTTTGCCGTGATACTTGAAAGCCGGGGGATAACCGATAGTAATCAGATGTTTGAGACGGTCCACCGCCGCATCGGACCAATTATAAAACCGGTCTGGCAACATTAAAGGCATCGTTTCAAACTCTGAAAGTTTGACCCGTGCGAATAGTTTTGACCCAAACCTATCATGGACCCCCTTCCACAAATCAAGGATCACGTAGACCCTACCCACCTTCAAATCACTCACACTCTTGGTGTCTTGATATTTGTTGACAGTCTGCCAAGAGTCCATGAGCCCCTCAAGGAGCTCGAGAGAAGGTGGGGGGTTAGTGGGGGCGACGACAGAGGTTGCTGATGGTGCTGATGGTGCTGCTGGTGGTGCTGGTGGTGCCGAGGGAGCCGGGGTAGGGGGGGTGCTCTCCTCAGCTGTGGCGGTGCGCTGCCGCCTTCGAGGAGGAGTGACCTCCTCGGCGCT